ATTTCAGAAAAAAATAGAAAAGACATCTCTGCAGTTTAATAAAAAGGTTCTGAAGACATTAATAGAGGCAAGCGAGTATTTAAGAATCATTTGTGAGTAGCTGAGAATGAGGAAGAATTATTTGAAGATTTAGGTTAATCTTAGCCTCTTGACAGTAATTGAGTATGTGACAGGCAGCAAAAGTTTAAACAAAGATAAAAGCTGTAAACTTTATCTGGCCATGTTATTTTAATATTATTTTCACACTAATCTAGATAAATTCAATAAATAGAACTAATGCAAATTGATCCCTCATATAGACCAACTCCAAACCTGAGTCTGAGGTAAAGATGACATCATAAAACCTTCACTTGACCAATATACTGCATTATTTAACTTATGATACGTGGAATCAATTAACTGAAGGTACTATTTTATAATAGGAAACAAAATGGGTTTACTGAAGGATCTATTCAACAAGTTCTCTTTGTGCATTTGAAATATTTGATTTACACAAAATTTTTATTCAGCTGTTCTGGATGACAAATGTCATATAGAAACAAATATTCTATAAATATTTGGGAGAAAGGAGAAAATAAGAATTCTTTAATTCCTAGATAACTCAGGTACTCTGCTAATTAAAAACCACTATCCTGAATATAAAGATAATCAACTATCAAATTTTTAAACATGAATTTAATGCTAAACTTAAAACTTAAATATAAACTCCCTTTTACCCCACAAGAGAATTTAATGCAAGCCATGAGAGATCTTTAAAAATACTCCTTCACCACTTTGGTGTTGGTTTTAAATTTTCATGCACTTTTTCACCATTAGGGTTTTTGATAAAATTAAACTAGTCTTGCCATTATGTCAGAATTTTGAAGTACTGATCCTGGATACTTGTCCATGGCAGATAGCCTTAGTGACAGGTCACAATCATATATGTTTTTATAATCTTTGCTTTTCAAAACTTATTTTGAATCTTAAATATGAAAGATGATATATATTTTCCAATCAGGAGCAATCAAAATCAAATATATTTTTATTCTTGTAAACTGTGGTTTTATTTTAGAAAGTATTTTTCCCATAAATATTTTGCTATTTCTATGAAGCTAATTGAGTAAGACAGACTTGAGTTAAATTGTGTTATGTCATTTATTTTGAGTGTTGAGTTTGGGGAAGTTGTTTTTTTTTTCTTCTTAAATATAAATTATATTAAAAATCTATACAGTTTTATGGGTTTTAGATTTAGGAGAACCTTCATCAGTTTGAATTGGTTGTAGTTATTTTTCTTAGAAGTAAAATAAAGTTATTATAAGATATTCATGGTTCAAAAAATCTTGCCAAAAGCAAAAGGAAAAAAAAAAAAAAAACCAAAAAACAACAACAACAAAAAAATGTCTTCCTCATTAACGATAAATCAAATGTGTGTTCAGTTGAACATGTATTTAATCTTGACTTATGGATCTTTTTTAGTACCGCCCACACAGACTCTTTTAGAGTCTTTGGTTTCTTTCTTTGTGATTCTTGAATTTTTCTTTGCACCTTGATCTATCTACAATCACATGTTGGGGGTAACTGTTTTGCACATGTATAAATAATCTTGTACATTAAGAAATGCATGACTTACTGTACTTTTAAACAAATAATTGTAATGTGAGAGCCCAGAATAGTGCATATAAAGAGTTAGCTAATATACAGACAGAGGGAACTGCATAAAATCCAAGATTACTAGATGGCATGTCATACTTTTTAAATTTTATTTTATCCATGGTCTTTGGAAGGTCTCTGGCTGTAATCCGACAGAGAAAGCTTTTAGTATAATGAGAACACTAATAACCTCTGAATTTTCAAAATGGTTCAACTGTGCCAATAACTAGCTCTGTGTTCTTGAGTGAGGGCTCAGCTTCTTTGAGATTAATGTATCTTCATAGGGTTGCTATGAAAATGAAATGACATAATTTGTGTGGTTTGTAAGCCTCAAAACACTGCATAACTTTATAGCTTGTCACAGCTGCTGCTGTTATTGCAACTACCCTGGGTCAAATGCTCCATTTTTCAACCCCAAAAACAGATAATAGTTTTTAGTGGTTAGGTGAGCAATACACAGGAAGGGAAATTTAGACTGGGTGGAGGGTAGAGGGAGGAAAGGAAGATTATAAAATGCTGGAAAAATAGGTTAGAAATAAAAATTTTAGACACAAACTAATATAAATTGCAAATGTGTGATAAAGATCTCAGAAACCAACTATTCAGGTTTTCGACACCACCACTGTCCCCTGCTTCCTGCCTCCAATGTGGCAGAACAAAAATGAAGCAAATAATACAGAGTATTTTATTTATTTATTTTCTTTTAAGATCATTTTGTCTAATTTCAAATATGAAAAATGTCAAATATAAGAAATGTCAAATTTCTTTCAAATTATTTGCCTGACTGTAGCTTAGGAACTCAGATGCTCAGAGCTACAGTTCCACGGCAATTGCTACTATATGTTGTTGCTTGCTTTACATGAATTTAAAATACTAAAGAAAGTGCTTTGTAGTCAGGATGGTGGCTCACATCTGTAATCTCAACACTTGGAAAGCTGAGGCAGGAGCACTGCCTAGAAAATTGAGACCAGCCGGGACTACATATCAAGATTCTGTCTTAAAAAAAAAGCGGGAGGGGGGGGGGGAGCTGGGGATTTAGCTCAGCGGCCTAAGCGCCTGCCTTGCAAGCAGGCAGTTGTGAGTTTGATCCCTGGTACCGGTAAAAACGAAAAAGACAAAAAAAAAAAAAAAAAAAAAAAAAAAAAAAAGGAATTAGCTCAGCAGCATAAGTACCTGCCTGCCAGGTGTGAGGTTGTGAGTTAGAGTCCCTGTACAAAAAAATAAAAAATAAAAAAAATTGTGCATTGCTTGAGGATCTCAAGGGAACATGTATTTTGTAAGCTTCTTTGGAACTTTAAAATCTCTAAAAATCATTTCTCAATTTGAAAGTGTCTAGAAATTGGCTTACAGTAAATTATACCAATGAAATTTCTCCTTTGGAATCTTTGCAAGGATAGCTTCTAATGAAGAAAAATTGCAAATGACAATTTAATTTACATAAATAAAATTTTGTATTAGATTTCAGATCTAGGATGAATAGATTTATAAGTCTTTATAAATTTTGTGCAAAGCCAAGCCTCAGTTTAAGGGATTAAGAGTACTTAATAATACAATATAGAAATTTTAAAAATAAAGATTAAAATTAGACTTAAAATGACACAAATTTTTGAATAGCAAGTAATTGATGTATAATATGTTACAGAATGTGGGATGCTATGTATTTGATACAAGTCCTTGGTTTAGTGTTAATAGTTTGCTTCTTCCAGTATTTTGCATCCTTATTTTTCCTGAGTGTGTATTTTCAACAAAAAATTCTTCTACCGTTTTTACTCCCATTTTTCTTGGAGTTGGTCGTCAATTTGCTGTGATAAACCAGTATAAAAGTAGATATATGTAGATTTAATTTCTTTGGAAGAGACAAAGAAATTGTTTGACATTGTTTTTCACTGATTTTTTCATTATCATTTTGATTGTATTTGACCTCTGTTAGATTGACATAGTTGCATTCTATTTTGGATGCTATGAATATAAATGACAACATGAAAACATTTGTTGTAGTGCAACAATAGTCAAAACTTGCATTTTTATATTTAAAAAGTCCTCAAGAACCAAAAGGAACGTGTGATTACTATAGATAAAAATAACAAGATTTTGAAATGATAATCTGTATCAGGTAAACAACAGAAACAAATTGGTTAAAAATCAGGTTTTCTTAATTGAATTTGAATTAACTTTATATACAATCACATAATCAATGCTTGATCTGGACTGGGGTCTGTGCTGAATTACTGTTCAGATAATTTGGAGCTTGATTCCATTGTGGATGGCTATATAAAAAATGCAGAGCATATTAAAGATGTTTACAGTCTACTGGAGTGATGAAATTCTCCAACCTGGCTCATGTCTCTATCGAATGAGCTGTAGATATTTAAAGTTCTCCCTCAGGAGAGAATTGACGTAGCACACAATAAGAAAAATTTCATACCTTTTTTCTCTGAGATAGTCCCAAAATATAGTCTCACAGTTCTAAATGAAAAGTTGTCTTAAGAACCAGGCACATTTCACACTGACTGATGGTTATTTTTAGGTAAACCACTTTAGGTTAATTAGAAGAAAAATTGCTACTGTACAATTATTATACTCTCTCCTCCCACCTTGGCCTGAACATAATGAGATGTAACAAAAGTTTTTCTTTGTCACTGGCAGCTGCACCTTTTAAGTGTATCAAAGTCTGTTGCTGTGGTTACAGCCTTTGTTTCCAGTGATGTTTTGTCCATGCTTCCCCCCACCCTAAACAAGGGTTATTCAGAAGAATGAAATAATGAGTCATTCATTCGGAAATAAGTTGTTAAAATATCCCTCTTTATCATTACATTTCACTGCTTAGAAACTAGGCTGTAATTCAAGGCAACAGTTAAGTCTGAGAAGAACTGTTAAAAAAAATCTTTGATTTTTTTCATTTATAAGAAAAACCTGTCTATGTATTGAAGAACCTCTTACAAGTCTGAACAATTAAATCTTTTTTGGTTAATGTATTATTTCTGGAACAAGTAGATAAAATTCTACGCAGTAAGCATGATAAAAAGCGTGCATACAGCACAGAATTTTAGAGTCAAGGTTTCTGGGCACAAAAGCAGTAACAAAACAGTCCCTACAAAATTGAGTAACTCTGAATAACACAAGATATAACTTTTGTTAATTTAAAATTTTAGAAACTGAAATGTGTAAAGTTTGTAAAGTAAAATGTAATTAAATTATGGCACTGTACATACCAGTTGTTTCTAGAATTGAAACTTTACAATATGAAAAATACATTAGCTCTGTACAGTTTTTACACATAGGTAGGATGAGTTTTGAAAAAACGATTCTTTTAGGATCATACTCTTTAAGTCAAAAAAATACTGCACAACTTAGCTAATTACAAAGTGTAGACTTGAAACAATTCATGTCTTCTTTATTTCATGAATCAATCTTGGATTTTTGTTTATTTGAACAGGGGATTTTTGTTTTGCTTTTAGAGTCACAACGAACAAATCTTCCTCATTCTGTCCTTGAGGTTACAAAGTTTTAGTAGCAAACATTGGCCACCAATTAGTTTAGTTAGGCCAGCTGCTGTTTATGGTCACTGATTCGGCCAGCTGTTGTGATTGTGCTCAGGTCCAGCTCAGTCTCTAGATGTGTTTCCATCGTATCTTCCTGTGCATTCGTTTCAAAGGATTTATGAGAGAGAAGTTCATGATGCACCCCACAGTAACTTATTGTGGGCTGGTCGTATGCCAGAAAGGTAGACACATTCATTGATAAAGGTATCTGGGAAAAAATGACACGAGAAAAGTCAGTTATAAAAAGATAGACAACTTTGGGGCAAGATTTGGAGACTGTGAGGTACTGACCTGATCAATCTCTATGGTAACATCTGTAGCTCTGGGATTCCCACGTTATTCTGTGAATACCCCTCATTTTCATATAGTAAGCTTTCTGTAACAGTTTTATAAGACTGTGGTGAAGCCCTTTTGATGCTTATGAGAACCTTCACATGAACAGTTAAAAAAAAGTACAAAACAGGGGTAAAATATTTTTTCATTGGAAGAATGGGGAAATTTCTTTCCTTAACTGAAGGAAACACTGTTTTTGAAAAATGAAAACGATTATTTTGTTATTTATGGTACTAAGATGAAACAGATCAGTAGTTCTCAAACTAGTGTATAGAAAAAAACCTCCTCCTTCCTTAACTACCTGTCCCATTGGCCCAAGTTTCTGATTCATTAGGTCTGGTGTAGGGTAATGAATTTACATTTCTTACAAATTTCTATGTGGGTGCTGTTAATCTACACATCACATCTTGGGAAACACTGCAGAAGAGAATCCTCAAGTTAATACGTTTGTTCCTACTTGTAACTTCTTAGTGTTTATTCATTATAAAGATTCCTTGAAATATAAAGCTATTTCAAGAAAACAAGCAGAATTTTGTCCACATATCCAACCTTAGACATTAGGGAACTCCCAGGGGAAGAAAAATCTATGGCTTCTGTAAGGTCTAAAAAGCATCAAAAGATGCTATTTTGAAGGAACGAGAGATAGAGGTGAGAAAGGGACTCCTTTGCTAATAAAGAGAATATAAAATCTAAAGATGTGAGGGGAAAAAACAAGCATGATCATGGTGAGTTGACGGGAAACACATGTCACAGACAACAGACAATCTTATATAATGAGATGTCAAAGTCTAAAGGTCATTCCATTTTTTTCAATGAGAGAATAAATTTGTTCCAATAAGGCTTTGAGGAGCCTTCAATGCTCATCTTGGTTTAGTATCTGCTATAGTTTAGGTATTGTTTATATATCCTCCGAAGATTTATGTGTGGAAATTTAGTTTCCATTGTGAAATATTAAGAGGGTAGCGACCCAGTCTGACCATGGTGTTCAGAAGTGGGGCTTTTGGGAGATGATGTGTTTGCTAAGGTGATTAGAGTGGTAGTCCCAGTATTAAATCCTGATGGTTCTATAAAATTGGAGAAAGAACAGCACATGCACATGCACGTGCACACACACATGCACACACACACACACACTGTTCCTATCTCTCACTATGTAATGCCTGCACCTCTTCTTGGTATTTGGCAGCAGGAAGGTCATTAACAGATAATGCTTTTCAGTTGTGCATCCCCAGAGCTCTGTGCCTAAATAAACCTTTATGTTTCATCTAGTTTGTGGCATTGTGTTACTGGCAACAGAAAATGGACTAATATGATATCCTAATTACTAATGTGTATTGTATTCTCTTGAATGAAAACATTCTTTTTTGATGAATGTATAAAGTATTATTTCTGTTTGAACACATTAGACTAAATTCCCCTCTTAACTCAGTTGAGATTAGAGCCCAAAGTAAAGGAAAAATTTTACTCTTTTAAGTGTTCTTAATTTTCTGCTCCATCTTGTGATTCACATACTCTTCTCTGCCTTTCATTCCATTCTATCTCTACCTTTTACCCACATTTATGTTTTCTATTTTTTTTTTTTTTTTGTCTTTTTCCTTTTTATCGGTACTGGGGGTCGAACTCATGATCTGCCTGCTTCCAAGGCAGGCGCTTATGCCGCTGAGCTAAACCTCCAGCCCCCCATTTATGTTTTCTTCAGTTAAAAACCGAGCAAGTAAATCAGTCTTCTCTTTGATAAAGGATTCATTTATTTTGAGATAATTTGTTTATACAAATATTTCAGTGTATCTAGTGTGTAGTGCTTAGTCCTTGGAGGCAGGAAGTATAACCCAGTTCATCAAATAAATTTCCTGAGTAATTTCTAGTATTTATGTGGGTTTCCCAAAGAATAATACACTACATGATACACCACATCACAGTACTATGTAAGAAGTATATATAATGAATATTTAAATTTAATGGTAATTAATATCATCAAAATATCTCCCTTCACTTGAACATGCTTATCTCTTTCTTACCACTTGGCAAAGCAGTTCTGAAAGTCTTTTTTTCTACAAGGTGTGTTAAACAATATAAGTCCTGCTACTGAATGCCATCCAATGGAAAGGTGAGCTTGTAAAAAGCATTTCAGGGTGTACTCATCCACCAATTCACAAGATCTGGCACTATTTTAACGTCTGGATTTTCTCCAAAACCAAAACGATTGTGGTTAGGAAAATGTTCTGAATGGATTCAGGACATCAGTGCAGACACAGGAATGCAATGAAAAGCGTGATGAAGGACTTACAGAACAGCTTCAGAGAGTGCCAAAAAATAATTGTGTTTAAAATGAGGAAGAGTATTTTGAGGGGGATTAATGTACTTCACTGTAATTAACATTCACTATATTTCCTGATCAGACTTCATATTTTGGTTCTTACCAGAAAGGATTATTTATTCATTTCAAATTTCAAATTATTTTTAGTTGTTTGGGAGCATGGCAGATTACACTTTTGTGATAGTTCCATTATGTGACAAAAGAATTTGAATATGTTGAAATCTACTCATATTTTAAATAAATTATCTAAAATATTTTAATATTAAAATCTGCTTAAGTATTTTTCACATCAGGGAAATCACTTGATACAGAGATTTGGACAACTACTGTGAATTAAGCAATCATTTTTTGATTCTGTTGAGAAGACCTATCCTTGTATCAGAAATGACTGATGGATGGGTAGTGAAGGAGAGGCTACCAGCTGGCTTTAAACAAATAAACACTATGAGGTTCAGATCCAATCCATGTAAATCCCATCTGTCACCAAGTCACAATAAACACAGCACACTCTTCACTTACCACCAGATGACTTTATGCCCTTTGCATTCTCTTCTCTTTCAACATTAATCTTTCCCGCTCTCTCTGTTTCTGCCTTTCCCCTCCAATCCCCATCCTCTGTCTTTCTCTCTACATTTTTACCACGTTCTATTAACATGCTCTTTCCTGCGGCTAAAGTGTTCATTCAACATTACAATTCTTTATTCTACTCACTGTTCCAGTTTGGACAATAAAATAACTTGGTAAAGAAAATAAGAAGTGACTGCAGATGCTCAACCAGCTAGTGAGAGTGGTTCTAGGAAGGGCAGAAGACTTAAGGTTATTAAGGCTACTGCTTCCTGAGACCTTTTGTTAGAAGGCTGTATTTTAAGCATCCACAGAATCCAAGTATTCTACCTGAAAGAAGTCTCTTTCACTGTGGTTTTATCTGATAAAGTCTTCTTTTAATTACTTACAGTTTCCTTTAGTCCTGTTGGTCACTGTTTTCCAAGTGAGGTAATTATTCTCAGGGTGTAAATTACAGAGATACAGGGACATTAAAGCTTTCTCTCTCTGCAAATCATTGTTGTGAAGAGTCTGAACTGAGAAATCATTATATACTCTTGTAATGATGAGAGGTGGTAGCTGACCCATTGCTTAAGAAATTCCTCTTAGTAAAATTTTGATTCTGCTAAGTAAACACTGGAGGGACAGCAATGACAATTATCTTAATAGTTATTTTTCTAGTATCATATCAACATAAATAAAATGTACCTTTTAATATAAATTAAACAATTATTAATGGCATTTTACCCAGTCATGTATAAGTGCTTATTATTACAAAAGGAATGAATAGCTTTTTAAAGTTTCTAATTTGTAATTAAGTAAGAATAATCATTAAACCTTATATTGCTACATAAGTATTATCTAAATATGTTTGACCAAATATATGGGGGTATTTGAACATGAATATATATTGACTACATTATAATTAGTTAGAAATCATGTAAGCTTCTCCTTTATGACAAGGCAAGGGTTAATTTAAGTACAAAATGGTCTGAGGATCAGAAAATGATGTTACATCTTTGGGGATGAATAATTTTTTTCTTTTGCTTCTCTAGAGCACGAGATTTTCTTGCTAAGTGCTATATCTAGAGTTTGTAGTAACCATAGTGCTACTAAAACTTATAGTTGATCAGAATGCCCATTAGGTTCCCATATTTCATGGGAAAATCTTCTATTTTTCTAACACCAAAGAGTATCTAGCAAGTGTTCTATTCCTAGGTTGTTAAAAAAGATGATACTTTAAAATTTTTGGAATTTGTGCTTTTGATCATCTGTATGTAGTGAATAAGTAGACTTGTTTCAGTGAAGGGATCGTTTTTTTTGGAGATGTTGGTCTTACAACTCTGGAGGCACATTTTTTGCTATTTTATGCTGAAATTCAGAAACCTAGAATCTCACTTCTGTTTTCCATGTACTAAACTTAATGGGTTTTCAAATGATTTTATTTCAACTATTAATATATAAAAAAAGAAAGAAGTATTACAATATTTCTGATAATGACAATTCTTTATTTCTAAATGTGTCTTCAGTGGGTTCATCATCTTTTGGCTCCAGCTGTCTCTTCTTCTAGGGGGTCTCGATTTTGTTCTGAGGCACATATAATAGTTTAAATAAACTCTCAACATACTTGAACTCCTTGCTTCAGATGTCCCATGATTTGTCACTTTCTGGACACCAATGACATGTACCCATTTCTGCCATTATTAGTTTAAAAGATTATTAGTCTGTCCACCTTAGTGACCACATACTTTAATTTTTTACTCTGTAGAGATGAAAATAAAACCAATCATTTATAAATCTTTTTCTAGAGGAAATTATTTATTCTTTAACTGAATATAAGCAATACTTTAAAAATGTTGAACGCTTTCATGTTTTTTTCTTTCTGTTTCTCTCTCTCTCTTTTTTTTTTTTTTTTGCATTGGTGGCTCATGACCAAATTCATATTCTTTATCTTTGGAAATGTGGAGTATGTACTGTACTTTATTCTGGGAAATTAGCTTTCATAAATATTTTATATACATCTAGATATATTTGTGAATATATATATATATATGTGTATGTATTACGACATTACCCATAAAGTTCTTAATTTACTTGAAGTTTTAAACACAATTTTAAGGAATTTAAAAACTCAATTGGTGTTTTGATACCTCTACTTCTGTTTTATTTACATATGCTAATATTCTTGAGAAGCCTTGTATTTTACTAGGGTACATGCACTCTGATGTGTGTTTGGGGATTGTTTCAGTTCTATAAAACGAGCTTTTTGTAGTGTTGGCAGTTTTATTTATGTTCAGAACAGAAAGCTATGTCTTTCATATTACTTGAACAATATTAAGAAACTAATGATTGAAAATATTTTTTCTACTGGCTTGATTCTCAGCTTAAAAAATTTATCATTAATCATTATTTTGGTTTCTATGTGTTGAGCCACTTGATAAAATGTAAGTGCTATATAAGGAGAAATAGTGTTAGGAATTCCCACACTATAGCTTGGGTCTCTGGCTAATGTCCAAGTTAAATAGTATCATGGTACTAATTTAATTCTTTTAATTTTATTTCTGCAGTGTTTATCCAGCTACCTGGAGTAGCTGTGAAAAATTATTCTATCTTTTGGTTAACACCAGCTTGGACATATGGCTTACATCCTCTTCATTATCATAATTGTCACCCATTGAGCATTTGTTTGTTAGGTTATTAAATACTATAATATATGCTAGACTTAGGTTAGCTAGCAGTAAGATAACTGCAATTATCTCCTTTAAGTGAGAAAATGTAAGCCTTGTTATAAAAAGTATAAAATCATCTCCTAGTGAATTGCAGAAGTGATTTTTTGACTCCCTAACAACTACATTTTACTGCTCACTTATTATAGTTTATTTAACTCATACTGGCTTTGGAGCCTAAAGATGTGAACACAATATAATATGTCTGATACTGTTTAATCACCAAATTATTAACATTTGAGTCTACAAATATTAAAATATATATATATATATATAATTTTAGCAGAATGAACACTGTTTTCCTGTGCTTTGCTGCAGTTTTATATTGATGCTTTGTATACTTGGTCTTCAGAAAAGAAATATATAATTTATTAAGGAATTTCTGATACAGTTAGATGGCAACAGCTCAGAAACTGAGCTTTCTCTTTCTTATTCATATTGACCAACACAAGAGGAAGTGTCCACTTTGCAGAATATCTGGGGCTGGGACAAGAACTTTAAAACACCCTTAGAAATGTATGTAAGACAATTCAAAGAGACTTTGGGAATTATAAAGTTCAATTTTTGTATTGAATTGGAAATGGGTAGACATTTTTCCAATTAGATTGTGCTAATTTTTCTTTTTAACAAAATATACCAAAAGAAATGTCAATCTGCAGTTCATTTGGTTTCATATTAAAATGCACTTGTCTTGATTTTTAATATGTAAAATATTTCTTATTAGGTGCTGGAGACAGCAAGACTGGAGAAATAAACAAACATAAATAAGGCATAATTTCTTTCTTTCTTTTTTTTTTTTTTTAGCAAAATCATAGTCCTGTGAGGAGCAATAATGCCACAGAGTAAAAAAAGTGATAGCTGAGGTATGTAGGGTACTGTATCTGTGTATAAGGAGTAGAATATTTCTATCTATCGATTGATCTATAGTGCTCTGATTGGTTGATTGTATTAACTATATCGTTTATCATTTGTGGGTGCAAAATAAAAATAATCGTTTATGTTTGATGGTAATATTATTTTCCAAATTAATTTGCAAGAGTCAATTTTGCTGAGAAGTGATTCAATATTTACTTTACAGACTTTCACAAAGATAATACATTTTGCTTTGAAAGTGATTTATTTATTTGAAGAGTAATCTATCTCCTGCCACACTTTAGCATTCTAATGGTTAATTGGTATGAGCACAACAGACTGCTGGATCATTAATTTTAATTATATTGAGTCTAGTAAATTATTTAGAAATCATTTTCAAGAATTACTTAATTAAAAGTATGAGTTTATGTAATCTACTTTAAACTTTAAAGAAATCTAATTTTAAAATCCTTTAAAAATTTAAAAATTTGAGATATAATCCAAGCCTTAATACTCAATTATGATATTTTCCTAACAGCTAAGTTTTCAACTAAGATCTATTCTAAGATCACAAGTATGAGATAATACTTCAGAACTCATATGAATTTGAAAAATTTGAGATGTTTGTAGTTTGAGTATAAGGTAAAGGAGAATATTGCAAGACCGTAACAATCTTTCTAGTGTATTCTATGTTAAAAGTACATGATAAGGGGCCAGGGGTTTAGCTCAGCAGCACAACTGCTTGCCTCGAAAGCTTGAGGTTGTACATTTGATCCCCCCCCCCAAAAAAAATTAAAAGTACATTATAGTTAACTCCAAAGTGTAATCATAAATTTAAAAAATAAATTGAGTTCCATTTGAAATGTCATAGTTCTTGCAACAAAGTATATTTAGGATAAAAATAAAGAAAAAAACTTGGATTTTAGTAATTATCTGTGTCTTTGCAAATTTGAATCTTAGTGCCCTTACTATAATAAGTAAGTAATGAGTAGAGTCTTATAAAATGAAGGTCCATTTATCTTTGTAGTTAAAACGAAATTTAAATGATGCAGACCCATATGAATGCACTTTGTGCCTTATTAAACATATTTTTTACTTCAGTTTTGCAACAAGAAATAAAGCAGAATGCTTTGTCTTGGCCTGGTGTTGCGATAGATGCTCAGAATATGCAAAGTGCTCATCCCCAAGACTTGTGCATGAAACATAATCTGTGCTGACACATGCTTAACAAGTAGAAAACAGTTCCATGTAAGAAAAGTTTATTTTCTCCTCAACTAGTGCTGTCAAATTTCCACTGATTGACTCACCCACCCACTCACTCTTGTTTGTGCTCACTCCCTTCTCTAATTATCAAGGTATTTTTCTAGTTTTATGGTATCCATATTTTAAAGTTCTGATGCCTACCATCTTTAGTTGTATCTGTGTCTTAACTCTTATCGGAACATGTCCTTTTTGAATGTAAGTATCTAATACCACCTATATTTTTCAATGCTTTTTATTGTCTCACATGGTCTTTTAAACCCAGTAAAAAATAGTTGGATGAAATTGGAGAGGAAGAGTATTTGAGATAGAATGGGAAAATATGAAAAACTTCCAAACCAGCATGACTGGGCTTTATGTGCATCACATAACTGAGATAATGTGTTAAAGTCTAATTGTGTAAGATCTTGGTCATTATGACTCTAGGTTAGAGGTGATGGATTAAAATGAATTACCAAAAATCTATAGTAATGATGTGGCACATAGCACTGTATTATGTTTGAAATCTTTATTTTTATTTTATCTCTATTAAATTATCAATTATTAATTATATTTTATAAAATTTATTTTATTTAATTTGCTGTTTATTTTATTATGGAATATATTAATTATATATTTGATATATATGGCTTTTAAATGATTTAGTATAAATAAAATAGTTATTCCTTATTTGATGTTCTTCATCCTATAGATTTCACAGTTATGCCAATCTTTGCCATCCAGTACTTTTTACATCTGCTTTTTAAAAACTCTTTAGTGCCTCCTAGAATAATTGCTCATGATCTCCAGGAGTTTGACACACCTGCCAAATTAGCTTTTCTAGTAATGGACTGTGCCATGGACCCTTCTGTGTTAACCTCTGTTTTATTTTTGTAGTGCCAGTGAAAAGTGATGTTTCTCTCTTACTGAGGCAAAGCAAAATGCCCCAAACTGTGTTCATTTACATGCAAATGTTTCTGCACAGCTCGATGCCTGCTAAATTGGTGCTGTTGCCAGGTAGTGATGAGACCCAACTAGTGACTATAGCTCAAAAGCCCCAGTAATCTTGGTGTTCTGTTTCCAAATCTGTTTTTTCATACTGTTGTGCAATAAGGTGCAGTTGCTAATCAGTTTGAAAACATCATTACTTTTTTCCTGTTTCTTCTCCTTCCTGGAAAATGTAGTTATAATGGTCTGCTTAAAGGTTTTATAATAATGATACATTTATTTAATTACATATTTATGCATTTATTTTTGCAACACGGGGAGTTAAACCCAAAGCCTTTATATTGAGTTACATCTCTAGCCCTTTTAATATTTATTTTTGAGACAAGTTCTTCCTAAATCACTAAGTTGTCCAGGCTGAGCTCAAATTTGCAACCCTTCCCTCCCATAACTTCCCAGAGTGCTGGGATTACCTCCTATGTAATGTAGCCACCGTGTGTGACTGCCCTTGATATTTTTATTTTATATTTGCATAAATCTGTAAGAATGAAAATCACCAAGTTATATTAGTAAGTACAAAACAAACAAAAATGAACGGTGTTTGGAACTATTTTGGAGGTAACTGGAATAGACTTCTCTATGCCTATGATAAGCATTTTAGAAATATAAAAAAGTTTTATCTGTGATTTCCTGAGCACTGATGTTTATGTTTGATGTTTTCTCATGGCTTTTGATATCCTGCTTTCTTTCCCACTGTGTCTTTCTCTTCTCTAATTAATTGAACCCTGGCATTTTTCGTAGAACAATCTTAGCATTTTTGACAGAATTTGTCCTGTTGGGCAGGTCTTTGATATCCTAACTTCCTTAGAAGCTTGCATTCTTACCCTGGTGGGGTGGCATCTGCTTGTGATCCCAGCATACTGGGTGGCCAAAGGAGAAAGATCATAGTTTGAATCCTGGATAATTTAACAATTTAGTGATACTCTCTTAAAAATACATTCATCCCTATACACATACATATATACAAAAGGGGTGGGGATGTAGCTCAGTGTGAAAGCCTTATGTTCAATCACAGTATTATACAAACACACAACACAAAAGTTCACATTCTTGTGTAGGACTTGGCAGCACTTCAGGATTTGCTGAATCCTAATAATTAGTTTCCAACTGAGAGGATGTAATAATTAAATTGCAGGGTAATTTTTTCTATTTTATCCTTAAATATCTTCCACATACATTTTTCAAACCCTTTAGTGCTTTTGCTCCTGATCTGCAGGAATCTAAGGTACCCTTTGAAGGTTCCTGTGGTTCTAGATACTTAGGCGGCTAAGGATGGAGGACTGTTGAGCCTAGTAATTCAGGAGCCTGCCTATGCAACATAGTCAGATCTTGTCTCTTAAAGACAAAAACCTCTTTCAGACTGACTTTTAAATGATGTGATTATTCACAGATTATCTCTCAGTTTATCTTTGCCTTTATTATTAAATTAGTTCAAAACTTGAATGAGATCATCTCTCACCTAAATTAGTAATATTATATGTATTCCTGCCAATTTGCACAAAACCCTATACATATCTTAGATCTAACAACATTTCTTTAATGAAAATTTCACAGATAAGTTTCATGGTTAGGTCTGAGCTCCTACTATGAATTTATTCTGAATTTATATGTATGTAAATATGATAATAGTAACACTATTCTTTCCATCCTCTCATAATTAATCCATGTTCATATACATGGATTAGTAACATTAGTAACTACTCTAGGAATATTGAATGAACAAAATCAATCCTCAGTATTACAAACAGTGTAGAATGCCATTTTTCCTAGATAGTGTAGGTACCTATAGGATGTGACAGGCATGGGAGAAAGATTTGCTGCCAGTTTTGGGAGCTTTCTATATTGATACACCATACTTGAGCTGTCTAATCTGGAGATATATAGATATAGACAGATATAGTTACATATATATACATAGATATACAAGTAACTATATATGTATAAATGTAACATATATTGTTATATATATACATATATACTATATATATATATAGCTACATATATATATATACATATATATATATATATATATATATGTATGTAACAATGTATGAACAGTAATGTTGGAGGCAGGCTTTTCTCAGCAATTTACTTATGTTGTCTTTCTTAATTTTAGTAGTTTTTATTCACACTTACCCCTAACATTTACAAGCTGTCATTTTCTAGGGTTCATAATATTTTACTTTATTTTATAGGATGTAGTATGTCTTTATTTAGAAATAATACTGTAATGTATAACAAACCTCTTTAAACCACGCCTTCTCCAAAACTAATTTTAAAAAATACTACATGAAGATAAGCTGTGAGATATTATTTCTTAATAGTCCATCCTGTTCATGAACAATGCGCTTATTTGTTTTCAACTCCAGGTTCAAAATAGATATTAACTTTAATTAAAAAGTTAAAATGATTTAGGCCACATTTGAGCAGTAAATTGAAGCCTGAGGTACATAACAATCTTCAGTATTGTTAGGATACCCTACTCAGAGAGTATTTTACCTCCTTTTGTCACAGTTTAATATTCAGTAGTCTAAAAGGTACAATTATAAAATATTACAGGAGTTTTATAAGAATTGTAACTGTGCAAGATTTTTAAATTATTTTCCTTATTGTTATTTATACTGCTCATTAATAATCCAAATGGTATGAGATCAGTGATAAAGGAAATGATGAACCTTAATTTATAAACATGGTCCCTAGTTAGATTCTATGTGAGATGCAGGCTTCTTTGTGAAAAAGGTTAATCATTTATGGATTTAGCAATTCATCATTTCTTATTCTATCTGTTGTTTAATAACTACTGTAAATATATCAAGCTATGAAAATGGAAAAGGGAAACAGGTCATTATTCTTGCAAACTACTTGACTAAAGAAAGTATATATTATAATTAAAAAATTTAATCTAAATGATCAGGATTTTTTTCTCATGGTTCAAGATGTTCTCACTTGAGTGAACTTTAGTGTAGATTTACAAATAATGTTTATAATTTTTAAATATCTGGGTCTACAACTCAGACTGAGTTTGAAAAGACATTAATAGTATTCTGCTAGTCTGAGAAATAGTATCAGAACAGGCAACTCGATAATGGTTAATAACTTTTTCCCAGAAGGACTGTCTTTGGCATTTTCTTCTCATTACCCTTATATGTCTGTAGGTAATTGTGAAATTCTTATTCTGTGCACAGAATTGTGCAAAATATTTGAAAATAATTAAAAGAGTAGTTAGTGTAAGAGGTGGTTGCCTACTATGTCTGAAATTCTGTTATCACTGAGAAACATAAATACAAAGTTAAAAACGAAGTCAGTGAGACTAGATAGGAATATAGGTGCACAGAGAGAAGGCTTTTAAGGCATCATGCTTTGTGCTTTTTAGAAAGAAACACTGGAACCCTGATTCTGTCCTCTTTCTAAGAAATGCTATCAAAGCAATTCTTCTTTTGGGATGGTTTTGTGGACTTTCACAAAGGAGAACTGAATTGATTTTTCTTACCTTTATAATTATTGTTTCTATGATTTTTAAATTTACTTCAACTGCTTGCATTTTAATAAAATATTTATATCTTTTGTAGGTAAACTCTTAAAATTGTATAATTGGAAATATTTCAAATACCTTATGGGGAGAACTAATATATCTTGAGTAGCTTGTTTATTTTAATGACTTCTTAATCTTTTATTAACAGACATGAAATTGAGACACATTTCAGTGATGTAGTAAAAGGTAAAGCCACAGTTACTTGATAAATGCAAATTCTAGTATCGAGCTCATATATGTGAATAATTCTGATATATGTATATCTGAATAATTGCTAGCTGTGTCTCAAGGAGAACTTTAAAATGTAAATTAAGAGCATACAAATTATAAAAATATGAACCTTTCACATATAACTCAAATGTTAAAATTCTAAGATCATTGTTGATCTTTAGAGGTAGACAATGAAAAGTAACACATTTTGAGGTAGTCTTTGTTTTAGGAATGGAAGTAGCTTGTAAAATAGGACTATACTTGTTCTGCCACTGAGAACGTATTACTTTCAATGTAGCTCCATAAAAGAGCTTTGATTATTGAACCAATTTCCTAACCAGCCTTTTGTGATTGTTTTAATCTGACAGTGTAGTCATGGTATTTAGATCGCATATTAGACCCTTTCTTTCTCCTTGAGAATTTAGCAAAATGGTTAGGAAGAAAGGAAGAACTTTCCCCGAATAAATTAGACCTGTGATAATTTAGAAGAATTCAAAGTTCATAAGGCAGAAGTCTTTATGTCAGAATGCATAGTGATCCCTGATCACACTTGCCCTTTCTGACCCTGTGGTGAACACCTGCTTTATTATCAGAACACACAGGTGGCCTTTGATGGAGCACATGACTACAGTGGAAATGCCTGTCTGGTTCAAGGATACCAGCTACCTCTTCGTAAGCACATTGTCTCACTGATACAGTCAATGTAGTTGGAGAATACATTGACTCACCAAAATCTATTCTTCTTTTGATTCATAATATTGTGGTTTGGCTCTGCCTTCCTAGATTATAACATGACCTAGCAGTCCCAGGGCTGAGAGCTAATCTTCAAAATTATATTCAACCCTGAAATTCCATATACTAGTATAGAATAAGTTCTTTATTTCATTTTTTTAAATAATACACGTCTTCAGGAATAAAAGCCTTCCTGGAAATCATAAATACTCGTCTCTTTCCTGCAGGGTCTCCTTCTGGGATCCAGCTGAGTTATTCATAGGCTTAGCATTTCTCTCAGAGACCTATAGAGTAATTGAAAATTTTGTGGGCAATACAGTGATTCTCAACTCTATAGTGCAGTAAATGCATTCCTAAAGACTGGGGCTTTGATTATAACCCTTTTCAAAATCTGCTTGGGGGCTAAGGGTTTTAAACTATGCTGTGAGTGATATTGATTAAGCATTTTCTGCCTCGCCCATTAGCTCTGGCTTCTGCTCAGTGCTGTAGCGAAATCACGATTTGTGCCACGGAAATCACTGAGGCAATAAATCCAGCAGTTATGACTTCAATACATTTTCGAGAAGAAAGCACAGATGGACTACAAGGGCGCAAGCAGTTGTTCAATCCAACTAATATATTTGATAATTAATAAATATAACAGGGAAAATGAACAGCAAATGCAAGTGTTGTTTGTCTAATTTTTAACTAAAATGTAGTATGAAATTGATTTGTAATATTTAAACATTCTGTAGCATTGAAAGAAAACATTTTAGTTTTTGAGAATGCTGATTGCAATGCCAATGGTATTGTACCAAGAAAAAAAAAAATTAAAATAGTTCACTGTTATCTTCAATCACTTTGAGCTTTGGATTCAGCTTATATTTCTTTCCCTGCTTGTGTGGGCGTGTGTGTGTGTGCGTGTGTGCGTGTGTGTGTGCGTGTGAGTGTGAGTGTGTGCGTGTGTGCATGCACGCATGCATACGTGTCTGTGTCTGTCTGCGAGAGAGAGAGAGAGAGAGAGAGAGAGAGAGAGAGAGAGAGAGAGAGAGAGACTGAGAGAGACAGAGAAAAGAGAGACTGGGGTTGATGGATTTGAAACTCCGAACCTTTGCACTAAACTGTATTATTTATTTTGAAACTGTTTCTAAATTGATCAAATTGGGATCAAACTTGGGATCCTTCTATTTCAGCCTCTCTATGGGCTGGGGTTGCAAGCATGCACCATCAAGTCTAGCTAGATTCAGCTTACATTTCTAGCCAAGGTAGCATAGATATTCCTATTTCTGAAACACCATACAAGTTTCAGGAACCATGCTAAGTGCAGATGATTCACAGATTATTTAAACATCGTTGTTATTTTCAAGGAGTGACCAATCTCCAAGAGGTGTCCATGCACATATGTACACAGTGAGTAAGTTCGGTTATGTACTAGGTCTAGAAGAGGACAGAGTCATCTTTTCTAGACTAGGGTCAAGAAATCTCTCAGAGGTTATTCGTGAGCAAGACCTTAAAGAAAGACTAACATTCACTTAGTGAGAAGCAGGAAGACCATTCCCACAAAAGGCACAGGGCATGTGACATTATAGCTGGCTCAGAGGACTTCACATCACAAAATTGGTATATATGTTTTATCAGAATATAGTAAAATGGTAGGCAAGATATGAGGAGGGCTTGAAATCAGGGACTAATAATGGAGATTGAAAGCTGTATGACCTTGGGCAAGTTAATTAACTTCTCTGAGCCACAATATTGACATTTGTTAAATAGATATAGGAGTCCTACCTTACAGTCTTGTGGTTACTTTTGAAGATTATATATGTGTGTTTCCTGGAAGAGTAAATTTTCAGTAAGTGACAGAAATAATAGTAGTATTACTGATTGATTGAAATACTCCATTATGTCCTCTGTTCTACATAGTTCACTGCTTGTCAGTCTCATCGCTGAAATAAGCTCAGAAAATTAGGCATTCTTTAAATGTTCTGTCAAGAGTCATTTATCCAATAATATTTACTGCTACCATATTAATCTATATTTGAGATGCAATCAAATTGAAGAGCTCAAAAATTTATAAGCTCTGTCAGAACTAAAGGAAGAAGAGAGGAACATTTGGACATTATTAGAGTTGTTGGCCTGTTGATGGAAAGTATCATAGTTCCAGTGTCAAATACCGAGATAAATATAAGGGACTGAGAATTCTAATTCTAGCATAGCATGCTGATTTACTGTTTAGCTTCAGGCAAATTACCTTTTCTTTCCAGTAAAAAAAAAAAACAAAAACAAAAACAAAAAAACCAAGGTGATGCCTACTGAACAAATACCAATAAACAAGCTTAAGTATAAGAAGTCTAAGTAATAAAGTAATAGTCTCCTGTAAGGAAGAAAAAAAACTCACGTCAGCAGATTGATTTTTGATGGCAGGACTTAATAAAAGAGTCTAAGTAGAAATCACATCCACAGTTCACTCTTTTTATTCATGTCAGTTTCTCCATATCTATTCCAATTTCTAAAACTTCCTTACATACTGCAGTAGTTTTGCTTTAAATTATGAACAGCAAAGTCTCCATGAAAAATATAAATTAGCCTCCTGATGCTTCTCTTTCCACCCCCATATAGATGCAGTAACATAAATGGAAGAATACAATTTCAAAACCTAACCCAGCAGAAAATGTCTCTAATGTGCAAAATGACCAATTAGTTATGCAAAATGTACAATTTTCTTTCTTGAGAAAAGAAAAATTATATAAAGAAATGCAAGTATTGGGTTGCCTGGTGTCTTGTTTTTTTCTTGATAGCTCCTTTTTGCTCCTCTGAGAAGCCATGCCAAATTCTATCTACTCTATGAAGATTTTAAGAAAAAATTCTTAAAATCATCTGAACTATAGGAGTTTTTCACTTTACTTTTCTCTTGGTGCTTTTTTACATGCCGCTGCTGGTAGTGACTATTTTATGGCAAGTTATGTCTGCCTCCCCAATTACACCACAAAGGCTTGACAGCAACTACTTTGCTTTTCCTGTTGTCTTAGTCGGTCCTCAGGAGATATCTGCGGATTTATTGGCTTCCTTGGGTCTTTCTAAACCTGGATATAAAAACTTTATCTGTATTGTATATCTTCCAGATTTTAGATCAAGGCCTGGTCTATTATCATGTTCCTTCTAAATCTGTATCAGACAGCAAGCCAAGCCATGGGCACTGATAACTCAGTTTGTGGTGATTTCTAAATTCTTGAAAATTTCCGCTTTGCTCCATAAAGCAGTTTTTCAGGCACAGTCTGTCTTTATGAATCAACCTCACATATGTCACTCCCTCAAAAAAACAAAACAAAACAAAACACCAGCAAAGTATCAGGGAGGTCAAATGGGGAATGTAGATCTCGTCTCTAAAATTTATAAATATGAATATTATGAGTTAATAATGGCTTTAAAATCCTGGTGTGAGTTCTAGTTGAAGTGGGTTAAGAGTATCTCAGAAATTGTATCCAAATTCTAGAAAACCCTTAACGAGAGCCAAACCACACCAGTGTTCTAAGTCATACAATCAAATGAAGTGCTCAACTACAGTACATTGGCATTTTCTGTCTCTGTCATAACTACCTCTTACCTGCTAACTTTGCCGTGAATTTTGAGGATTACATTTTAAATAAGGCATCAGAAAAAATATAAGCCATCATAATTGTCTTAAATGTATTTTCTTAAATAATTTAAGGGAAGCAACATTTTATTCGTTCCTCCATCAATAACTTTCCTTGCTGGTCATCTCCTCTCTCATATCCTTGCAAATCAAATACTCACGTACACAAACTTCAGAACAATTGTTCTTTAGAATGTTTGACATTTTACCTGACTAATTTGTAGGTCTGGAATGATATAATCTTACAAGTGTACGTGAATACTTTCAGGACTTAGATTTGCATTGAAAAATCACTCTTCATATTCTAGTTGAGGGTGTCTACTGAGCTTAAATTGAAAGTTTAAGATTGATTTTTTAAAATTTGGAGACTATCAAGAAACCCTGGTCAGTGGTTGTTGCCACTGAGGGAAGACTATTAAATTTGGATAATTTGAAATGACCCCACCCAAATGTACCCCTGGTGCCCCTGGATTGTGATATATAGATATATCCTATTAGTTCATAGCTATTGAGGGAGAGATGATAATAGAAATTTCTTACTTCTTGAATTCTATTTTGTAAATATCTCCTACTCTCTCTCTCCTGTTATCTTCCTCCATTCTTTTCTTCCTTCTTTAATAATTCATTCAATAAATAAGCATTGAATAATGTTATTTCCAATTAATGTCCTAGGTGTTAGTAGAATGAATAAATAAGTAGAAATAGATATTATAGTAAGGGATACATATTAAAAAATATATGTTTATAAATTTTGGTGTTGGGTATGGAGGAAAAATACAGAGAAATAGTGTTACAGAGTAGGGTAACACAGAAAGTTTCCTCAAGCAAGTTTCATGGGAGATGAGATGGATAAGTATAGTAGAAGGTAAGAAGAGGAATGTTTCAGGCTGAGGCAACACAGTAGATAGCATCATAGGAGGCAGGCAGAAAACGGAGAGCCCAGAATGGCTGAAATAGAGACTTCAAGAAAGGAACATGAAAAAGGATGGGGCAAAATAACTGGCTTCAGAGGGATCTAGAAAGCATTAGAGCTCGTTTGTAGACCACTTCATGAATTTTGTGGATTTAAAGAGTTTGGATTTTACCATTGGGTTTTACTAATTAGAAGCCAATAAAAGATTTTAAGAAGAGGAGTGACATGAAATGATTTATATTTACAAAAATATTACTTTAGGAATAACATTACAAAAGAAGGAATTGAAGTATCCATGAGAGATGCAAATGCAGTGTTGATAGGGATAGTTTCTATGAAGGTCGAGGGAATTTGCCAGGTTTTAGGGGACATGGGAAAAAGCAATGAAATTCACCAGTGGCATTAGGGATGAGTGGAGTGAGAAGAAATTCTCAAGGATAATATTCAAGTTTCTGGATGTAGCATTGTCCTGTTGGGCAGTATTTTTTGAAGCAGGATGTATATGAGATAAGGTTTGCATTTGCTTTGGCTCTGAATTTGGTGTTACACATAGTAAATATAAAGAGATTTTGATATATGATTGCAGGGACATTGGGGAGTTACTTTGTTCAATTCTGGAACTCAGAAGAGAGGTCTGGACCTAAGAAACTAGTGTAACAATCAAAACATATGTCAACATTTTGTTCATTTTAATAGAATATCTTATTAAGGGTAAGTTGACAATTCCTTTTTAAAAATTTTCTGAGTTTATCCTGTAATTTATTATTTATTCCCTCACCAAAATTTACAAATTCAGTTTCAGACACTATTTGGTTACCTAGAATTTCACTTTATACAATATTAATTTGAAGCCTTAACTTATCTGTTTGAATATAATATAATAAAGAGACATGATATTTACATTCGCTGTCTTTTGAAATACTTTTGTATTTGAAAGTCAGACTTCTCCATGTACTCAAGTGAGTCTAACTTATTTTTAAAGAGGAGGACTTTTGGTCCTAATGAAGTCCTGGAAATAGAATTTTGGAGATATGGCTGTGTGCTGTTCTTCCTGCTTGGATAGTAATACAGATGAACTTCTTTGATCTTTGGTGCCGTAATCAGCAGTGTGACCTTGGTAAGTCACTAGTCTTACTGGTCCTTCAAAACTTATATCCTTTTGGGGGAGGAGATTCCTTTACTATGATCACTAAATCCATTTTGGTTATAAGATCTATGAAAAGTTGTCATTAATTGTAAGCAAATGGTTAGGTATAAGGATGAAGGAGACAAGTAGCTTTAAATGCTGGAAAAGTTTTAGTTTTCTGGAGGAATTGAAGCTTCTGAAATTACTTAGGATTTAATAAAAAGGAGTTTATAAGATCCTTTTCCCCATCTTTCTACATATATATAAAGACAGTTAAATTGCTGCTAAAAATGTGAAATGGAGGTGAGTAACATTTCCAGAGGCAGTAAGTAATGCTGAATTTTACTGGCAAATTCTACATTCCTTTTTAGGAAAAGAGATAGAGGTTTATATAAAAATGGAGAAAAAGGAAATTGCATGTGCAGATGTAAAATACCATCTGTGCGTCTGGATCTGTTCCATGCTCCACACCTTCAGTGAAAGAAATTGTTGATTGAAAGCTCAGATTTTGCTGGCTAGTTGTAAAAGCTTCCTGTGTTGCTTATCATGCATTTTAAAAATAGATGGCTTTGAATGTGTGAGTTAATTTTTAGCCCCATTTGCTCAGGCCTCCTAACTCAGGAAGCATGCTTTTAGTGAACTCACAATTCCATTCATATGCAATGTGATTAATAGTAATGAGCACTTTCAAGGTGCCAGGCAATAGCTTTGGCACTTTGTATTATACCAAACTTCAAAATGTTTGCAAATAGCATTTTTTTTTCCCTCTCATAGTGGCAGGTTGGACCCATCTAACTTCTTAGACTGGAGAGTTTCATCTGTATCTTACTTTGAAAAAATATTCAATATTGGTGGAACTCCATGTGTACGGTCTCATGTATTTAGAGAAACTCATATTAATTCCAGCACCAACTTTGTCTATTTCTTGTCTTAATAGTGTAAGTGCCAAACCTGTGCTAGGCCAAGACAACTCTGTGCTCCATTATCCTTTAAGAGGATACTGACACCTTTAAGAGGAACTGGCACCTCTTTTAGGGTAACTCTTCCTAATCTTATCTCAGATTGCAAAATGAAATACTTTAAATATAGACTCTGACTTTCCGTACTTATGGGTAAAGTGGGTTTTGATTTTTTTTCTAAATTTAAGATTTTTGAGCACTGTATTTTTAAAAAAAATTGTTCAACTAACATTTTAAGTGGTATTTATATTTGGAGAATTTCCTAGAAGAAACACAAAACAAGCAAATTTGTTTCCTTCTTCCATAAACCATAATAACTACAAATACATCGTTAACATTTTAGCACCATTGGCCCTGGGAAACAAACACTACTTGAAGCTTAAAATAGCTACATCAGGTGCCAAATAAATCTTTAAATACTTAAAGAGAAGATCAGTTTCATAGATATTTTGCTTAAGATGGAGATAGTTACCTATTTTTCAGAATGGAGTTTTCTTGTTAAAATACTGACCATACTAATGAAGTAACTTGATTCTTAAATGTGTGCTTTTCAAACATGTAAGCCTCTTCACTTTCTCTAAAAGCAACAGGGACTGTGCTGTATGGTGTTCTATAAATAAAGAACCTCTATATGTTTTCTTAGTAAGCAGATAGAATCCCTTGTCTCTCAACCCCTGAAACTAGGCTTCTTTCTGTCTCCTACCAGTGATGAGTAACAGCTACTGTTCTTAGCTGACCTGACTGAGCCAATCCGTGGACCCTCTTTCCTTGGGGAGGTTGTGTTCCATTTCACTGTGAGCAGAGTTAAGGAGGGCTTCTAAATAAAAGGACTGTTGTACTGAAGAGACAGACCATTTTCTCTTGCCCAAATTGGTGTGATGGGGGGAGGTTCCACTTCATTCCCCTCCGCTCTGCCTAAATACATCTTCATAACATCCACAGGCATTATACAAAAGGGAAGGGAAGCAAACAAGATGGAGATTCTTGGAATGTCTATCCTCACTAGTCCTACTGTGTATATTATAAGGTGTGGCGATCTAGAGGGAACTGAGGAAGAAAAGGAAAGGAGAAAACCTTCTCTTGAGAATGGTTACCATTCTTCTGTTATTGGGAATGTGGGGGATGAAGGAAATGACCTATGTCTCCATCAATAAACTAATTTGAATGCATGTATAGATGCATGCATGCATACACATACTATTATAAAATAACTGTTCATGTTTTTAGAAGAACATTCTCATTAGTTAAATATGTCATGGTAAGAATTAAACATGATTACATGACACTATTTTGACAATACAATGCATTTGAGGGTAGTTGTGCAAAAATAATTATTTGTATCTGAACAAAAACTTCCTACTGTAATCATATCTTTTCCGTTGGTCAAAAGTCACTAAGTCATTAAATTATTCAACTTATGTAAAATGTGATTCAATTGTATGAATAAATTGAAACAATATGTGAAAAAAGGGTTTAAAAATAAAATGTTCTTTTTATTGTGTTTAGCATTTTTCATGATTTTTCCCTAATTTTAAATACTGTTTTTACATAATCCAAATGTCTTTCACACATTACCTTCATTTTTCTTTCTTTTTTATGTTATATTTTGGGTATTTTCCAATTCACCTACTTAGATTCCACTGTACCCATTCTATTATATTTACCTATCAAGTTTTTAAATTTTAAAGTTATTTTACAGTTTAGGATTGTCTGTTTAAATTTTATATGTGTTCAAAATACTGAATACTGTTAATTTATTCCTATAGTCCACCTTCCTTTCTATTTCCTTGACTATATACAATAACCTCAAATGTTTTAAAGTCTGTGCTAGTTTTTGTAATATCCAGATCATCTACTTATCTGGTTCAAATGTGGTTTTTTTCCTTGTTTAATCTATTTGTACAATCAATTATTATGCTGTTACATGGTGAATTATGTGTAAAAGAATCATAAATTTCCAAATAATGTTCTATGCCACCAGAGCAGAGGTCTACGTAGATAAGAGGATCCCATTCTTGGATTCAGCTGGGTAAAGGGCTTCATTTTCAGATTGTCATCTCACCCTTGTCTTTCTCTATTTCTGTACCATGGTCCTTGCAGGATTTTTGTTGAAAGCCTAATACATCTTTATCATCTCACCCTGAGAAGAATCTAAGTATTCTTACACAACTTTTCAGTTTATTTCCTTATCCTTAGGTCCAAACAGCTAAAAAGCTTGGCAAATGACTTCAAGATGTATTCAGCCCTGTGTTTGAGTTTGGTGTCTCTCAGCTGCCAGGCCCCTGGTTTGTGTCATACCAAATTCTGCTGAGGTTTTCACTTTGCCTTTAGAGAACCATTCAGCCTAGTCCTTCAGTTTCCTCTGCAACCTCACCAAGCATACCATGGAGAAAGCTGACTGTGTTTTTGATTCCTCCAATCTCCAATTTGTCATTTGTGCCTTTATGACTAAAAGTTCTGGTGGCTTTTCTTACTCCAAGGAGACACCTTCTTCTTAGCTCAAGTCCAGTTCTTAGCACCATGCAAAGAATCAACAAATGTTCATGGAGAAAGAGAGAAATGATAATCAGCAGCATGCCTTAGATTGACTGCCTTTTGAAATTTTATTTCATATAGTCTTTATTGCTTCAACAGCTCTAAGAACTATATAGCTAACATATCTGTGCTGTTCTAAATACTGCAACAGAAAAGTTCCTCTGTTAACTTACCTGAAAATGAAAAGACTATTATATTTTAATACCTTTAACTAAATTTTAGATTTTTTCATGTTTTGTTTTTTTTTTTAATAGGTACCGGAGATCGAACTCAGGACTGCCTGCTTGCAAGGCAGGCGCTTATGCTGCTGAGCTAAATCCCCAGCCTGCTATAACTGAATTTTAAAACACTTAACCTTGAAGCAAAAATGATTCTCCTTTACTGCTAACTCATGTCAATTATTTTGAAATTTGAAGCATCAAAATAATTTATTCCTATCCATATCATATTTATCTTTTCGATGAATTATTTCTCTTAAATCTTTTTCTTCCAGTCTAAATATCACAAATCTAAGTTTATTTCTCAGCTGGGGGTTTAGCTCAGCAGTGTGAGTGCCTACCTGGCAAGAACAAGGTGGTAAGTTCAATCCTCAGTACCAAAAAAAGAAAAGAAAAGAAAATTATTTATCACATTTAAATTCTTTGCCATCCTGATTACCATCCTCAGGAAATACTGTCAATGCACCACTTATTATGAAAGTATTAACATTTTATTTAATATATTCAAATTATATAATGTTCAAATTATTAAAAGTATATAATGTGAACAAATGTCTTTGTTTTTGTTTAAATCTAGTTAAGGAGAAAAAGCATCAGATGATAATTAATATGCACACCAAAGAAGTTATATGATGAGCTGTTTGTAAAATTCTATGAGGGGCTGGGTGGGAATTCATCTCAATGGCACAAGTGCCTGCCTGACAAGCGTGAACTTGTGAGTTCAATCCCCAGTACCAAAAAACAAAAAAAGAAAATCCCATGAACAGAAAACAAAATGAACATAATGAAAGAAAAATAACTATACAGAAGTTAGATAAGAAAAAGTTTCAAAAGTTAGGGAAAAATCATAAAAAATCATAATGATAGTAAAAGCAATAATTGTATTGAATCAAGTCAAGAATGTGTTATAATTCTTAAGGCAAAACTTTAATGAATAAGATTTTATACTAAAAGATAGTAAAAGAAAATATAATTACCATACTAGTAGAAATAAATAGATATTTGATTAATATGGAGAAGTTAAGTTATAAAAAAGAAAGGGAATATAGTACTTAGGACATTAGAAAAATAGGAGGCAGTAGAAAGTCTTTGTAACATTGAGTGGACAAGAATAATGAAATCAGTTCAAACTCACTACAAATAAAGGTAACAAAACCTCTCTCTCTCTCTCTCTCTCTCTCTCTCTCTCTCTCTGTCTCTCTTTCTCTCTCCTTTCATATCTATCTCATATACCTCATATCTCTATCTCTGTATGTATCTACTATATAAGTAGAACTAAGGACTTTTGTTTATCAAAACACATCATTAAGAGAATAAAAATATATCTGACACATGACTTATATAGTGAGCTACAAATGAAAAAGGTAAAACAAGCCAATAGAAAAGCAGATAAAAGTCTTGAACAGACATTTTACATAAAAGACTATCAGTTCTACCCCCATATATAATCATGAACATAAATATATTCAATATCATTATTTATGATAGTCATATTTATAAATATCAACTACGTCTAAAAAGTAGTGCCTCAAAATAATGTTGACTGAAGAGGCTAAACAGCAAATTATGTGCTGAATTTTTCTGGTTATTCACAGTTCAAAAATGGCACTAATCTATGTATTAGGAATCAGGTAGTGGTTAGTTTTGGAAGAGTTCATGTAGGGCACTGCTTCTGCCCTGCTTATAATATGTGTTTCTTAGCTTAGATATGACTTACATAGATGTGTTAAATTTATGAATATTCAAAAGCATAATATGTATATTTTCCTATATATATCTCATACTTCAAAAACAAATTAAATGTAATGAGTTATCTTTTGACTTAATAGCTACTTATTCCTGTAAATGTTCAAATAAATATGTTAAATGATTACCTGTGAAGTAAATGTGGAAGAGATTTCTCTACTGGGGTCTGATAATTTTTCAAATGAATCTGATAATTTTTCAAAATCTTGTAAATTTGAGATTCTCTGATTTTTTATAAAAAAGGGTACACTTTGAACTTCATGTACATATTTCTTTCCTTATCAATCAATTTTGGGATCGTACTCTACTTTTCCTGTGCTAGTTTACTTCCCATTCCCATTTAAATTCTTATCAGATTTTGATTATTGATCGTTCAATAGCCAAATCTCATGGGTTCTTTCTGGTCCTTTTCTAGTGTATTTCGGGGTCTATGAGGACTCATTTTCTTAAGACCACCCTGTAATTTCTTGACATCACTCTCTTCCTGTTCTCTTTTCATGTTTGAAATACGAGATCTCTCCAAAGTTCTATTCTTGATCTGCTTCTCATACCATAAAATTCTTTGCATGATTTCAACTGTTTCTAAGATTTAGTCAGTCTTCAACTCTTGTTGGATTTCTAAGTCTTTGTCTAAACTCTTTAAGTTTCTTCGGGAGTCTAGACCTATATATTCAACTGCTACTATATTCAGACCTACTACTGTGCTTCTTGACTTAATGCGTAAGACTGAATTTCTATTTTTTTTTCAAAACTTAAAAACTTCCTTTCATTAGGAAACAGTGTCTCTATCTATGCTTGTTTTATGGAGATGGGGAGAGATTTTGGACTCTCTTATACCCCTCCTTGCCTCATCCCATTCCAGTCGGTTACTATATTTAATTAATATTTATTTAATTTTATATATTCTTCGTCGCTTCTCTAATCTGTTTTCCATTACTTCAGCTTAGTTTGGCTTTCACTTTAAAAAAAAATGATTTTCAAGGGGATCTGTCTTACAATTTTATACTCAGCTAATAACATTATGCACAATGATGCCAGCACTGATTCCTTTTATTAGGATGTTCTTCTGTCAGTTCTTGACTCATTGACCACGTATTCATCTGAGACTATGTGTAATGTGGTTCTCTGTCTAATGCCAGAACTGACCTTTACTCAACCTCTCAGGAAAAATTGATAGTTCTCTCCTTTGTGTTTCCACTGCATTTTCTATACATTAATCATATTTCATTGCATTTATCTGTGCCAAGCATTAATCGCATTTCATTGCATTTATCTGTGAATTTGGGAATGTATCTTATTTATCCTGTTATATGCAGCATATAAATATGATTGGTTGGATAAATAAAATAATAATGAATGACTACAGGAATGAATGAATAAGTGAATTGAGCTTGGTTTAAATTTGTGTTTTCCCATTACATATTGAATTCATTAAGAGCTTGTTAAAAATATGGACCCTTGGTTTTTACTCTAGATAGTCCCTAGGGAAAAGGTCAAGAGACTTTTATCAGGTAGGTTTTGGGTTGGAACATTGGACATAATATTTTCTTAATTCAGTTACGTATCTTCCAAATTATAAGCCTGTATATGTTTCACATACATATTTTTGACCTGATATCTTTCAAAATATATTGACTAAGGCTGAGCATGGTGGCACACACTTGGAATCCCAGCTCTTAGGAGGCTGAGGCTGGCGGATCACTGTGAGTTGAAGCCAGCTGGGCTACAAAGTGAGTTCAAGGCCAGACTGAACGGCATAGTGAAACCTTGTCTCAAATGACAAATAAACAACAAAAACAAAAATAAAATATATTGAATATATATAACTAAAATATATATCACTAGTCTTAAAATGAATTTGAAATATAGGAACCAAGAAATTATCTTTGAAGCATTATATAAAAAATTAATATGAACAAATAATTTGGAGAAGGAGGAGTTAATACCTTTCTGCTTAGTGGAAAGATGCTACTCAATGAATATTAAATAGCTAGAGTTGGATCAAACTGATTACTGAATTATTCATTTAACATAAAATAGTTATAATGCATACATACAAATAAACATAAACGTATATTTCAAAAAATTTCACATCTGTGTTATATAGCTGACTAAATCTGATTGTCATGCTGTGTCTTAATGTGGTCTTTATTCACCTTTCATAAATGCATAATGAATTTCTGGGAAAAATAAGCTCACAGATCGTGTACAGCATTTTTATTTAAAAGTGGTTACCACTCTGAATATAATAACCTATACAAAACTAAACTTCCCCCGGTTAAATTAAAGAGAGGGTTTGTTACTCAGCTCAGAGAAGAGAAAACTGTGGTGCTACTTTAAATGTACTATCTGAAGGATTATGAGCAACAAACGTGGGAAGAAAATGCTAAATTTGAATCAAGAGACATTTGGTTTCTGTGGTATTTCTTGATAGGTAACAATCAGAACTGGTACTGTAGTTCTATGTATATGATTTATAAAGTTATACATTTAATATTTTTCAAATATATATTTTAGACATTCTACTGAGATTTTTGAAAGCAGATTCATCTAAACTCAGTGGAATAAAGCAGATCTCTGAAAATTCCCTTAAAAATTGCGTTACAATTGTTACAAAAATTTCTTTAGACCCCAATACAGGAGATAAATTATCTTAGAAATCCAAAGATTAAATTATCATCTGCTTTTGCTTTCTGCCCCTGTGCTGTTATCAATAAGCCAAAATCTATCTTGTTTGCAACTATGTTTCATACTTCAGAGCCATTAGTATTTCCTGACATTATTTTGCCTTTAGGCAATATTTTATTCTGATTAAAACCTGTTGGGACTTGTGTCCAGAAACATTCTTATTTGAATAGTATTTGAAGTGTTAATTTTATTATTGAGGTACTAGTCTGTATTATTCACATTATAGATGTCTTAAAATTCATGTGATTATGACCTTATAAAAACATCCAGTAGACTGCATTATTTTTTTCCTTTTTAAAGGTATTTTCTAATGTGGTAATAACTTGTTCCATGTAGAGGTAACCTGAGTTTCTGGTTATAACTATCCAGGTTTTTGATTACTATAAAAGAGTGACTTCTGTCTGTCTCTATCTCTCACTTGTTTTAAATTTAGAACGGGTCCTAGTCAGTTGGATATTATCAAGAATTCCCTGCCCAAAGACATCCTGTCCTCCAGGCTCCCATATTACTTTACCATTACCCTTCAGTTTGAAATTAAAGACAGTTTTAATATTATATCATTTATTTATATTTCCTTCTACACGATGGTAAGCTAGAGGATATTTATTTGTGTACTACATATAATCCTTGCTATACTAATCTACATCCTAAAGATTCCCAAAATTAGAAAAATAAATAGAAGACAGAAAAGACAACATTTTGTGTAATAAATGTTCAAGATGAGAAAGCCACACTTAGGATTGTTATTAATTAGTAATTTGAGATTTTGGGGTTCTTGAATAGATTATTAGTATAAACATGATATTTTGATTCCAAGAGAGAACCTCTGTGTGTGAGGGTGTTGCCAAGAAATACATAGGTAATTCTGCATCTTAGAAAATAAATAATTTTGGTAAAAGCAACAGTATGCAATAAGGGAGAGAAAACCAGTGATGTTGTCAAGAGAGAATTCAGTTTACTCATAATTCCCTGGAATGTGTGAGCCAACTAAAATTTTTCTACATGCTCTAAAGATCCACATAGGCCAAAATACTGTAAATGAAGAATCACTAATACTATTAATATTTTATCAAAGTATGGCAATTACAGTTACCATCTATATTCTTTTTTTTCCAGCTATATTCTTGATGGGATTTTTTTGGAGTGGCAATCTGTTTCAGGACAGTTAATTTTAACATTTGACTTTTTATATTCCTGTTTTAGTTAAGGTATGATTAAATTATATAAAAATGTTATGGCTCATATATAAAATTTCCCCCTAAAGTCTCATACGTTTGGAAGGTGATTGGCACAAGGGGTGCTATATTCATCACTGATGATTTCATAGCTGACTTGCTGCTAGGAGACAAGGCTTGATTAGAAGCATGTCACCGGCGGCATGACCTCCAAAATATGTTCTTGTCCCTAGCTTTTCCCTCCTCTCTTTTCTTTCTGGTTGTCATGTGGTTAACAGTTTTCCTGCACCATGCCCTTCTTCCATGCTGTTTCTACTTTTGAAGTAGTTGACCGTGGATTGAGTTTGCTGAGATTATGAAGAGAAGTAAATCTTTCCTTTAAGTAGTGGGCATTATGTTCATTTTCACAGCTATAGAAAAAAATGACTCATACAAAAATAAACCCCAGTTTTCATTGGTCTAACATATTGTACATGAGATTTTTTGTATTGTATGCTCGTAATACACAATTAGCATCCAGGCTTAGTCAGAAGCTTTTCATTTGATCTTCTAGAACTTTTGTATGGAGAACAGGCAAGAAGAACCTGATATAGGAGATTTCTATGGTCCAAGGCTAGAAGTATCCTGTATTGTTTCCTGTAAGTTAGAAATTAGCGATATGGACATTTCTAAATGCAGTGGGGACTGGGAAAGTACCCAGGAAGGTGACAGTAGCATTGGTGAAAAACTTGCTAGTTTATGCCTTACTACTTTTCACTGTTTTTTTTCTACAACAAGATTGAAATAAGCTAAACCTATATGTAAAGGGAAAATATTTTTATGTAACTTTATTGCCTATAAAGCCCTTTCATTTTCATGATATCTTTTATTCTTAGCATAATTTTAAAAAAGATAGGCATAATTAACCTTGGTGTTTAAAAGGATGAAACACAGACTCAGCGAGCTGCCGAGGCAGTAGATGTGGTATGTAGTCACCCTGGGATTAGAAACTATGTCTCTAGAAATGCGTCTAATGTCCTTTCATTCCTGGAAAAAAATACATTTTCTCGGATGTGAGAGAGACAGTAGTGCCTTGAACTTTTTGTCTTCTGTCACACAATCATGATATTGCTCTGCTTTGTCAATATAATATATCAACAAATGCTTCATAGAAGTTGCCAGGATGAGCTAACAGATGTTGATGGCACATGGAAACTATAGAAACTATAAGGTATGAAACTGTATAGCTTGCATACAGCTCTAGGGATGGTTTTCTTGGATATGTTCCTTTTCATTATTGAAAGTTCCCCTGCTACTTCACATAGCTGAAAGTTATCAATGAATGTGTGTATGAATTTTTCAGTGAAGTACATCTTACTCTTTGACTTAAAGTCACCATATCTTGTTCATGTATAAGTGATGTTTGAATTATTGTCATCTTCCATACCTAACTCTAGAATATTATATGTCTAGATTCTAATAGAGGTCCCAAGCACAACTTATCCTAACTGAATTCCTGATTCTCCATGTAATTTAAGTAATAAAATAAACTCTTAAGAAATATATTTATTTTGCCTTCTAGTAATTTTATTGACACTGACATAAATTAAAGTACAGACTGTGGACTAAGAGGTACCAGTCAAAATTATTATGTGCTAATTAGATTGTTATGACAGTATTGTTATACTATCATAGATTGTTTTGATACTATTGTTATACTATCAATTAAACTTATATATTTAATTGTATACAAAAATACTGACTAATAATTGGGAACAAATAAATAATATGAAGTTAAACATTTTTGATTCTTTAAAAATATAAATAAAAATTCCTCAGTCTCATAGATTCATAAAAATTGCCTGGAGTTATGCAACTTCAATTCTAGTAGTAATAGCACTAAATATGTTCTATATAAAATTCATGGAATTTAAAGGGATAGATCATTATAGAAAATTAAATTAAAACTAATAAAAGGCTAATATATAGCATAAATTTAGATATAAGGTATATCTAGTAAAATAAGACTTTAAAGATTATAGTATCCAACCATATGGAAATGTATGAAACTTTAACAATTCAGATGTCCCAGTGATAAAAACCAAAAAACTTAGTTGTCATACACCTGAAAAAAATCAACTTGAAAGACTAGAAAGTTTGAGAAGATCATTGAAGGACCAAAAAAGAAATAAATAAAATATGAAATGAAAAGTTTAAATATCAAATATATTATATCTAATTTTGCCACTGCATGCATGCATATAGGGAGATAACTACATTTAAAGTTTCACCCTGCTAACCGTCTTATTTTGGTATGTATAACTGTATTATTTTGGTGTGTATAGTATAAATGCACATATAAAAACATAAGCAAGTTAATTCCTCTCCAGAGGAGTCTGAGGTTTTAAATTGATTGGTAGCTGATCCTCCTAGAATGTTTTAATCTTTTTAAATAATTAGTGGGATTCAAAACTTCAGAGATCTCTGAGACGAAGCAACCACCTAATACAAAAGGTCCCAATGCTAGCTACGATGTAAAATTTTATGCAGAATACAGGCCACACTCACTTGGCTCATCTCAATGATATGTGTGACTTTATGCATATTAGGTATGTGATATTCATTCTTAAAAGAACGCTGGTCACTGAATAGAGAGCCATGTCATATATATCATCTGAAGTGATGAGAGATACTCATTCACTTACTATAACTGAAATCTTTTTATTCCTTCTCTTAAGAGAACACATTGGTGCTATTTTGTATCTCCCCAACAGTGATAACCTCTCTACATTGAAACCTGGCATCTCTTCTATCACTTGTTTGCTGTTTTTAGCTGAGTGGTACCTTGACCTCCCTCTCTGCTTGAATTTAGAGTATTCACATACTTTTCTTCAGTTGATCCAGTTCCTTGGCTGAGACCCCTAACTTTTCAAAAGCATCAATATCTATTATTTAGTTAGATACTTAGTTCACTCCTGTCTCAGGCTATTGTTGTTGCCCCAACTCATAAAGCACAACAAATTTTTTAAAAGATTGAACAAGTAATTTCTCATCAGGGTTATAATAATTATAAAGCACTTTTTATGTATAGTGGTACAAGTTTGTCTTAGGTATTCACAATTTGTAATCATGCTCTGTGTAAGCCTATGTTAAAATAGCGCCCTGGTAGTTTGGTAATGAATTCTTATTGGACATACTGAATTTGGAAAATAGGAGCCACTCAGTATTTGAAGCCAAAGATAATTAACTTTAGCAAATTAGGTGCTTAGATAGCATTGGAAAGCTTAGAGACAGTGATCATGATCAGCTCTCAGCAGACTAGAAAGCTTTAGAAATTGCAGGAAACCACTAGCTTGGCCTGAAGTTGGTCAGTTTCAGGTTGCCTGAAACTCAGGCAAACTTCACATTTGACACTTGCTTGCCAGCCATTGTTGATGGAAAATGATGGTTTTTCCTTTTCTGCTTTGTGCATCTTCTTCAAGTGTTCCTGATTAGCATATTCAAATCTGGAATCTTGCCGCTGAAATGTTTTGGGAGTATAGAAAGCAAACAGATACAATACTAAATTGACAAGAAACAATTCAGAATTTTAAATTTCTATTGTACACACCTAAATATCTCTTTTTCAATTTATTAAATTTGATATCAATTTTTGTATTATAATATCCTATACTTATGCACATACTTTGTAAGCAGAAATAATAACTAGAAAAAAAAACCAAAAAAAAAAAAGAAGACTACATTTATTTTCCAAAGTCCTTCTCTGTATTTAAGAGATAAGGCTATATGAGAGATACTGCATACCTATAATTCTGGCATTACAGGAATCATATCAGAACCTCCAATTATGAGGTAAGGGAAAAATATCCCCAGCCTGTGAGATTTCTGATATACTGACTTCATGTTTTCTTAAAAAGAAAAGAATGAATTCTAGAAACAATGGAGGTAAAGAGTAGGAAATATTTATTGAGAGATACAAAGCTCCTTTCAGAGGAAAGGGAGGTGTCCCCTATGGGTAGCAAGAGACCTCACTCTATGGGGAATTTTATAGAGCAAAACTATGTGGGTACAATGTGGGTTACAGCTATGATCAACCAATAAGATTATAGGTATAGCTGCTTAGGTAATTAAATTCATCCAATGGGGGAGCAAGTCATTTAGCCAGTGGACATGAAAAGATCACAGAACTTCTCAGAGGAATCTGGGGTCTTGATTGTCCATTGAGGTGACTGATGCCCATTTAGAGCTCTGTTATCACAGATCTCACCCCTTGCGGAGTGTGTTGGTCTGGTCCTTTTATTATCTTGAGGTCTGGTTTCTACTGATGCATCTCTGGCCACAGCTACAGTGGATTTTTACCTTTTGTGTTGTCTCCCTGAAGGACCCAGATCTGTGTGATTACCTATACTATTTCTATCTAACTTAGCTGTCTATAAGATACCAGAACTCTGAGAGGCTGAGCCAGGAGAGTCACAAATACAAGCCTTAACCTTAGAAATTTAGTGAGATACTGTTTTGAAATTAAAAAAAAAAGAAAGAAAATATGCTATTCTATCATTGATATTTAGAATCATTAATTTCAATCATATTTAAGAATAGCACTGCTATATGTGTAGAATAGCTCTGCTATATGTGAAAGATATCTTCAATGAGTCACTTTTCTTACAGAAGCTGAGGTGCTATAAGTTACAGAAAAAACAAAGGCTGAGGGTCACATTTATTACATTAATGACTTTAAGCAATTTACTACTTCTTCCTGGACTTTATCTTCTTAATCTGCAAAATAAACAAACAAGTAACATCCATCTATCTCTAACTTGCTATGGTATTAAATAAAATAATGTATGTAAAAGTGCTTGCCATTAGTTGGTTGTCAAGTACACTGAATTTCTCCTCCCTTTCTACAACTTCTTGAATGTTCTTTCTAAAGTTTGGATTCCAGTTTTAGAGAAGTAGGTGGAAAACACGTGGGCTGATATGTCCTAACTTTTTTTAAACAGCGCATAAACTGCCTTATATTTATCTAAGACTTGGCACTCATTCTTTAAATGAATGGCATAAATCTAGAACATCATTCTAGATCTTGGAATGAATCTAGATCATCATCGCATATTGAGGACCTTATTTCTTACCCATAATCTTAAATATTTTTCTCTCTTCTGTTTATCTGCTATAAGAAGGAATATGTTTTGTATTGAAGTTATGTTTTCCACCTAAGGGTAAATCTAAAATGCAGCCAGTTTCTTTGAAATAAAGACACATTAATATTTGCACACGACTACTGAGATATTGTTTCTCCTACTAACAATTTTATAGTGACCACTTAGGAAAGGGAGGAAAAATTCTTTTGAAGCTTCCTGTCATCTATACTGACATATTGCTAAGGTTTTAAACACACATATAACTTTCCTGGTATTAAGCACTTGTACTCTTCTTTTTGATATGCAAGTTAATGGGCTAAGGAAGTAAATTTCCATATCAAGGGATGATAAAGAAACAAGATGAATATTAAATGCTGTGTAGTTTAGAGAGAAAAATGAAAACTCAGGGAAGAGAAGAATGAAGGAAGTTTGATAACATATCTAAGAATTAACTTGCTAATGATGTAGACTTCCCTAGTTTTTAACTCGTGGTGTCATCATAGGAATGAAACATTTTTGAAGCAATATGTAGCTGGGTGCAGTTGCCCTTCTTAGTGAAGCAAAGGAAGAAAGATTATCTGTTATTTAGGAAGGCTAAAGATAAACTTTTTCCTTTCAGTTCAGCTTCTCTGAACTAGGTAGAGATTAATACGCCATGTACCACAAAGGAGATAAAATGATAACTCTTTCAAAGCCCTCTTTTTTGCACCCTACTACTTCTCCCTCGATCATTCATTTCTTAGCTTAGTTTTCCATGTACTTTTGTTTAAGTAGATTCAAACAGAATTTCAATGATTCACCAAGTTAGGTTCAGGTGAGTCTTTGAGTTAAATTTAACAGGTCACATGGGGATGTCTTTTCTTCATTTGCATGGCTTTAATCTGTTAACCTGCTAGTCAAGATAGGCTAATACTTGTTGTCCTGCGCAAAAATAGAAATTCAAAGAAAGAGTTAAGGTCAGTGGCTTATTCCAGGAAAAGTTTATTTCTTGTTCACATTATCTCTCTCTCTCTCTCTCTCTCTCTCTCTCTCTCTCTCTCTCTCTCTCAGTCTGTCTGTCTATCTATCTATCTGTCCTTATTTGGATTGGGGGACCTAGTTGTGAGTGACAAATACATAGTCACTTATGGACCTATACTTATGGAGCTTCCATAGTTTTTAACTTCATTTAACCAGGACTGATGGCTCAATTCTCCATTGGTCATGGCACAGTAAGAGAGACTGAAAGCCATGGCAAGGGAACAGACCTACTCACGCACACACAATGTTCCTGCTGCCTTAACCTAGTACTGACATAAATCCTTTAGTAGCTCATTGATTAGAATTTACCTACTGCAAAGGCAATACAAAATATAGATGAATAAATACAGTATTTTGTGAGCTTGACTATTTCTGCCACATTTGAAATATTTTCCTTTTTTAGTGTGTACTTGAGTATAAATAAAAACATCATCAAATACTTTAATATGAGAACATACTTACAAATATTTCCCTTAGTAAAACCTTTCCACAGCTGGATTTCACATTACCTTAAGTCTAAAACCATTCTTACCGTCATAGTTTACTTATAATCCATCTATACTTAAATATTCCTTTTGTGTTTTCAGTTGATCAGCATTTCTAATTCTTTGCTTTCCTCCTAGTTTCTTAAACTTGATTGGTCTTAAAATATTGTTTTGCTGAACTAGAAGCCTTTACTGTTTTCAAAACTTTTTTCATTATTTAACATGATCTCATTTCTATATAAAATATTCACCAAGATGCCAAATTCTTATAAAATGGTGATCTAGATTATTAATCTTATAATAATTACAATGTAATAACTTGAGAGAAGAGTGCATTTCTTCTCATCATTTGAATAGTGCATGTAATGTTATCTTGCCATAGAATTCTTAAATTAGATGGAAGGGGATCATTGTGATTATGAATAAAAGATTAGATTGCTAAGACTGAGTGGAATTATTTGCATATACTGATAATATTTATCAAACCTTCATGAAAAATATCCCTCTCCACTGACAGCATTAGCAGAATTAAACGACTGAAAGATGAACAAACATTTCAGTCATGATAAAAATTGTTCCTTGCTTTTGAATAATGATTTGTGGTTTACAAATTCTTTGATATAGCTCTGGAAGAAAGGAAGGTATTGTTACAGTATTTCCATTTCACAGTAATGGAAACTGATCATGTACTTGAGAATCATTAGAGGTGGCTTGAAACTCAGCTTTTCTGGTTTATAGACATTACAAAGTAGAAAACATTACCATGCAGTCACGAATTCACATCTACAACAGCAAATCACCTTTTCAAAAAATGAAGTGCTTTATAACGCTTGCAAAAATATTGTGGTCACCTTTCATATTTATAAGTGAGTATATTTCCTAAATTTGTAATAAAGATTCTTTGTACTGTAAGAAATAGAAAAATGTGGGCCCTTGGAGGGCAATGGATCTGAGTACGAGGAAGAATTTAATTCAGAGAACATATAAGCCTATCATTGCTCTGAATATAGTGGAGATAGGGAAAAATACATTTCTTTAAAAATTTTGTAATTTATTTTAAAAGTTGTTTATTGCCTAAGTATAATTGTTCTTTTTTTTTTTTAATCAGTTACCAGGGATCGAACTCATGACCACATGCTTGTAAGGCAGGTGCTTATCCTGCTGAGCTAAATCCCCAGCCCCTAACTGTCCTTTGAAATTAGTGATTTATAGTCAGAAATTACTCTTATGGTTGTGCCAAAACAAACAAGGAAAAATGACAACATTTTTATTGAGGACCAGGACCATAAAGAAGTCTATTTTAGATAGGATAGTGTGAACTTCTCTAATAAAAATCATGCAATAGGCAAAGAATAAATTAGTATCTATGCAATTCCAGAATATCTTCAGAAACTGATGCAAAGCAGCAGTTGGGGGTGTTTCATGTAATGTTGTAACTAGAACTATCACAAAAGAATTTTCAAAGAAACTTGTAATTAGAGGCATGAAATATATTATTGCATTGGATCTAGTAGTAAAGAAAAAGTTGCTATCTGGAAGAAATGATTAACTGGAAATATATGAAATGTCTTAGACTATAGTTCCCTGAGCTTGTATATGATATGTAGAACTTTGGGTGATCACTTATCTTTCCTTTTCATTTTCCATAATTATGCAGTTAGAAAGTGATATCTTTCATGTAAACATTACCATTTTTGAATTCTTTTTGGTAAGAACAATTTTGTGGGTAAGATATGAACTCTCGTGCTTTGGCTTTAACATTCAGTGGTTGCTTTCCTTAAAAGATGATAAAAGAATGAGACAATGTGAAAGGATTAATATCCAGAAGAACGAAACATTCAAAGAGTGGAGAGAGAGGTGAGAAGCTGATGTGGTACTAGTGGTAAGATGGTGATCAGGATAGGACTGAGGACCTATTTCAGCAACATTACAGCTTTAATGAGGGCATATCTTAATGTAAATTAACCTTCTATTGTTGTTTGGTTAATATTGTATTTGAAACCTTAGAAAGGAGATCCTGCCATTTGTGACAGCTTGGATGAATGTGGAGAAAATTGTGCTAAGTAAAATAAGCCAGACACAGAAAGGGAAAATACTGCTCAGTCTCTAAATCTAAAAAGGCAACTACATAGAAACAGAGTATAAAATGGTGCTGACCCGGGTTAGAGATGTCTGTGAGGAAAACTGAAGTTGGTAAAGCATAGAAATTGACATTTATAAGAATAAATTATGGGGGGCTGGGATTTAGCTCAGCAGCATAAGTGCCTGCCTGGCAAGCAGGCAGTTGTGAGTTCGATGCCTGGTACCAATAAAAAGGAAAAAGACAAAAAAAAAAAAAAAGAATAAATTATGAGAAACACAGAATATTGACTATTATTAATGATAATATAGTGCATACTTGAACCATGCTAAAAGAGTAGATTTAAAAAATATACACACACACACAAGCCATGTGACGTGAAGGATATGTGAATGAGGTTGATTGTGGTAGTCATTTTACAATTTATATGTGTATCAAAAGATCATGTACCAAAAAAAAAAAGATCATGTACATCTTGAATACATTCAATTTTTATTGGTCAATTTTAGTTCAATAAATGTGAAAAAAGCTTCTTGAGGATGAATGACAATATTTAGATCAGCTAACTTTTCTAACTGGTTATCAGAGTGGAGAAAAAGCCAATACAACAGGAGGTAGAGTTGATAATACAGTGCTTAGTGACTGTGACTAATTAGAGAACTTAATTAAGCTGTCAAGAAAGAATAAAGATAATCACTCTCCGTCAGTTCCCACTCTTTTGTACCCAACAGCACAATCAAACCCATTTTCTCCCAGGCTACCGCATGATCCTTGCTCTCTTACTTGATATTGATGTAACCTTATTTGCACCTTCCTAAGACGATCCAGGTTATACAAGTCAGTAACAAGCTTTGTCCCTTGTTTCATGCTGCCTTACCAGTTTTGTTCATATCATTGTCATTTGTCATATAAAATATTTGAATTTTCTACTTTAATCATAATTTCCTTACAACCTAACTGTTACAGTTATTATTATTTTTGTGATTGTTAATGCTGATTGTTATTTTAAAATAACAGAAATACCAATTACTTGGATTACTCAGGAGACTTATATATTATCAATATGGTAAGCTTTGCAATGGGCAAAAATAATGTTTTCTTATTGTGTATGTCAGTGACCTTACATTTCATTCTCATATTCAGTCCTGATGCTACTTAGTGAGATGGGTTTTCTTAAGCTTATTGTCAAGGTAGAAAACCCAAGGCAGATAGACTAAGTAAGTATAGGATGTCAGCCAGAAAGGATGAAGCCGCAGTAGATCTAGTTCCATTTGCCCTCATTCTGCTAAATATACATGGTTTGTAATTACTGCTTCTTTAGCTAGGATTTAGCTACTACTACATTTAGCTTGACATCAGTAGTTTGTGTGTGTGTGTGTGTGTGTGTGTGTGTGTGTGTGTGTGTGCAGTATATTTGATTATGGAAAAATGATTTCATAAATGATGAAGGAAATCTTGTAACATTTTAATGTGAATAGGTCATCAGGAATATGTAGTCTGTACATTTAATCACCATGGGCGTATCAAGGCAAAATTGTTGGCTGAGAAACGGGAACAGCTTCAGTCTAACGCCCAGTCTTACCATGTAGTTCAAGAGGTCCTCGAACTCGCTTATATAGCCCAGGCTGGTCTGAAACTCACAGCAATCCTCCTGCCTCAGCCTCCCAAGTGCTGTGATAAGAGGCATGTGTTACTATGGCCATAAATCATTTTCTTATCTATAAGAATTATTCTAGGTCAAGCTGCTAGGATTATTTCCAAAAGATGAAAAATATTTCCAAAAGATGAGAAGTATAAAATAAAAAGCGGCCTTTTTCTGAGAACACAGAGAGAGATGACAGGCACCCCCACCGCTGGTGACCACCGATCTCGCCGGTGGACACGTGGCTTGGGAGCATGTAAATAGCCTGGGTTTGGGGTGGAACCTAAGGCAGGCATTAGGGATGTACAGGTAGCCCATTGGTCCTAGGTTTGGTGCTATATGTAAATTTCCAGGGGCGGGAAGATGGCATCACAGGTAACTTCCTAGGGGTGGGGGTGGGTGGGGGGGGGGCGGCGGGGAATAGGGGCTTCCTGCTTCCTGTTGTGGCTTTCCTGGCTACAGAGTCCTGTCTGGGCCAAAACCCTTTCAAAGCAATTAAGTGTCTTCTAGTATCAAATGAATGAACACATTAGTGGGCTTTTTTCACATGCTTTGATTATTGTTGGGCTGGAGACAGGTAGTTTGTTCAGAAGAAATTTGTACCTTTTGAGCTCTGAGAGTTTATATATGAACTATAAATACACCTCACCTATCTAACACTGCAGAAACTGTATTGGTGTTTCTGAGGCAAGAGGATCACAAGTCTGAGCCCAGGTTGGACTCCACAGTAACTTAGCAAGATTCTATCTCAAAACCAAGAGAAAAGTAGTGTAAAAGTCTAATATTCCCTCCCCAGTATTGTCAAAGAAAATTATATGTTTATTTACTTGTACCAGTTTGGCAAGGTAGAATTCTTAAAAACAATGTGAATTGAAAGTTATTTTAATGTATTATTGCTGCTATTTGGAAGTAAAACATTTTTGATTTTGTGTTTGTCTGTTATCACTTAATATTGTGGATATTTTAGAAAGTTTCTTTGTATCTTTTGATGCTCTTGAAACATGTAGTTGCACAGATGCTTAAGCATTTGCAGATGTAGATTTTGAGCTGGTAGTGGAAGGCGTGAAGTTTATACGTTTTGGGGGATTCTGTCATTAAGGAGAATACCAAATTAGGAGGAAGATATTGGCTACAAAGGTAGAGACTAGGAACATTATTTCTGTTGATAAAATGAAAACTATGATATGCTGGTTAATCTCATTTTAACAGTCAGCGATGTTTTATTTTTTAATTAAGAGTTTTGGAGAGTAGTTATCTTAGAAACTAAGGAAGTTTGCACAAATGCTAGATTTAATGTTACAATGAAAGTCATTTGATGTATTTTCTATAGTCTCTACAATGTACTTACAAGACCTTTTGAAAAGGCTTTATCTCACAATTACTCAAATGAAGTATTGATGTAGTTGTGATTACTGTGTGGCACTATGAAAAGAGATAATGTTTCTCCCCAAAGTCATTTGGAGAATTAAGAAGTAGTTTAAATGAAAAGAGTGCAAGGAGTGTGGTATGTGTGTGTGTGTGTGTGTGTGTGTGTGTGTGTGTGTTCCAGATTGAATGCAGGAGTGTTCTACCACTTAGCTACATTCCCAACCTTTTAGATTTTTATTTTGAGACAGGGTCTCATTTAATTGGCCTCAAAGTTGCAATCCTCCTGTGTTAGCCTCCTGTCATTTTTCATGCTTTTCCTGCTTATGATGTTCTCCCACCATCTGATAACATACCATCAAGCTTGGAGGGAAGACTAGGAAGAAATTTATCATATGTAGACATTGCTGTTTTCTGTTAGGGAACTTATAAGGCATTAGTAACTGATCACTCCCTTCAAAAGTCAAAACTGTTGAAGTAGCTCAGATTGACTTGGTAAATATGTGGTATGATCTTTCTCTCCTCATGAATTACTTAATTTTGCATGATAACAAGGTTTACTGTTAAAGGAACCTAAGAATACTCCTCTGCTTTTATATGTGTTAATATTTTACCCTATACATTCCCCCTTGCTGTCTGAAATAAATTTTTATATCTCATTTTTGGTGACATATATATATATATATATATTGGGGTATTTCCTATTCATCATGAACTTTTATTATAGCTAGAAATTTCTGGCTGGTATTGAATAATTGAATTATCAATGTGAGTATAACTTTACACAGGAGTTATGAGCAATAATCTGCTTACTTTTGAAGCTAAAACTATTAAACATTGGAATCTACAGTGATGGCTGTTGACTACCATGTGGGGAGGAGGTATTATTTTAAAATCTGTTGATGGCATAATGTCATTAAGGAAAAAGTTTAGCTAAATTCTCATTGACTGTTTGGCTAACTAGCATTTTATTGTCCTTTTTAAAACAAGTATAAAAACTCACATTCATTTAAATTTGTGGACTTGATATTTTGCTTTGTTTTGGCTTTAAAATATTAATCATAATAGGAAAATGAATCAATTCTTTCATCATCTCAGCAGTTCCTTCTCACCTTCCCACTATTCTTTTTTTTCTTCATAGAAGGCTATTGTTTAATTGAAAGATACCCACTAGTAGCATGATCAGGGAATTTACAGTTTAGAAGGGAATCCTCAAAGAATAAAAAAAGTTTAACAAACAAAATGATGAAAACAAAAGAGTTTCTATATGACATAATACAGGAAATATTCTTAGTATTAGCCATATTTCAAGCTCTTTCAAATGATATGTATATAGATACTGATTAGTAGTCAGTCTGATAAATCTAATCTAAATTGTTAGTATTTGGCTTTGAGTGTGTTATACCAATGTTCTTCAAGCTTGTATAATATTAAGCCTTCTTACTGATATTTATATTCCATCTTAGATCAATTAAATCAGGCTTTTTCACATAATATCCTATGAATTTGTAGTTGTGTAAGATGATAATCATTTGTGTGTTTGGAAAACACCAGCATAGTATTTATTCACCATTCTTCATTCCTACTTTTATTATTACTTGAGTAAACGTTGAATCAACTTTTATATCTAAGAGACAGCTAGTTCTTAGGAAACAGAATGCTGTATCAAAATAAATATATTATTCTTATGAGGTATTATAAAATTCTTCATGTTGCATAGAGGATAGCATAGCTATTGCATTTTGTATTTATCCTGTAATAAATTTCTGTACCTGCTCATTAGTATTATTTTTCTTTAAAATAGAAACACATAGTCAATTAATACATATATAATTAAAGCATAATGTTGAAGTCAATGGGTTTTCACTTTAGGCGCTCTGAAAGAGTACTATTATTCCTTCCATTGTATTGTATGTACAATTTATGGGACTTTTACTTAGTACTAAGTAAATGCTTTTAAAAATAGAAAAAGTGAAATATGAAAATTCATTTGCAAACTATGTTTTTTATAGTAGGAAAACTTATTAGCTGGCAAATACCGTCACGTCATATGAAAACTTGAGAAGCATATCACTTAAATTTAAACCTGAATCTTGTTACAATAGTCATCTGGGTGTTTGATGCATACTATACAACAATGTGTGTTACTTAAAAGTCAAATGTGCTAATGTCTAGGAAAACATGTGCATTTTTAAAATAATAGTTTAGGGAAAGATAATTTTGTGAAGTATTAAAAGTTTATGGAAGAGTAGTTCTAATTACAGATTCCATAAAAAATATATGGTGCATGTGTGTATGTATGTGTTGTGTGTAGTCGTGAAATGTGAATTCTAGTCCATTTTGCCATTTACTAGTTGTGTCATATGACTTTTAGCATCATCTCTATCACCTTTCTTCTTTCTTCCTAACATCTTAATGCAGGGATCCTTTGCAAATGTGGCCCCATAAAGGAGCAGTTTAGAACAATGCCATA